AAAGTTAGATTTAGATATTTTGCCATTAGAGACAAGTGTATGTGTCTGTTTTTTTTTATTGGTTCATAATTTTTATCAAAAAAAGGAAGGCAGTTTCAACAAACCCAAAAAGAAAAACATGATTGGATTTTACATGACTGCGAGAAAGACAAATTGTTTTGTTCAACCTGCATCAAAGTTACGCATATGAAAATGTCTTTACCTTGTAATTCAAGAAAACAAAACAAAAACGAAGATTTATTTCTTCTAATTAGAAAATTCGTTAAGAATTTTCTAATTGGAAGAAAGCGTTGCAAATTTTTGCCTCTCACGAGCGATCTAAAAATCATAGGAAATCCGTTAGTATGATATCCATCAACTTAATCACCACCAATCAAATCATAGGAAATCCGTTAGTATGATATCCATCAACTTAATCACCACCACCAAAAAAAAAAGAATTTCCTCAATTTTGTTTAAGAAAAATTTAGATTAACTATCAATCATTATATTAATTAGTTTATTAGTTTAATTTACTGGATTACTTGTTTTTACTTTATTAGTTTAGTTTACTGGATTACTTATTTTTACTTTATTAGTTTACTGGATTACTTATTTTTACTTTATTAGTTTACTGGATTACTTATTTTTACTTTATATAATAGGGAACGCAAGGGTGAAAATAATTCAAACTTTTGCGTGCTACTAAAACTACGAGGAAATGATTCTCTGAAATTGAAGAAATGGTTGAATTTTTCTGAAAAGCAGAAATGGCTTTTACCTTAAATTTAAAACAAAACCCTACAAAGCTTTGCTCATACAACGCTTAGTAAAATATGGTAAAGTATGAGCAATTCACAATTCTACAGTTTGATGGTCGATGAAACAGCGTATATGTCCGCAAAAGAACAAGTTTCGATCTGTATTCGACGTGTTAATAAAAAACTCAAAATTGAGGAGCTTTTTAAGGACTTTTATCAAACCAAAAACATCAAGAGCGCAACTTTTTTAAACTGTTTGATGGATTGTCAATTTAGCCTGTTAATACATTTATTGGGGCCAATGTTTTGACGGATTGTCTAACATGTCTGAAAGCACCCATGGATTGCAGACTTTTAGAAAAAAAGAAGGAAGGACAATTTACGTGGACTGCCGCGCTCATAATATCAACTTGGTACCACAAGATTCTGTTGAACAAAACATCAAACAGAGATAAAGAATATGATGAATATAGTCCAATCATTCATTGCGTTTGCCCGTGTGTCTTCAAAATGTCTAGCATGTTTCAAAAAATTTTACATCATAAAGGGTGTAAAATATTGGAACATCACTGCGGCCATTTTGTTCCACTCAATGGAGCAGCAGCAGAATGTATTGTACTCGGCAAACCAGAGATACCGCATAAAACGTATAATTACCTTACGATTTACTGGAAGCGGAGTTCCAAATTTTGCTACGACTCCAAAGGATCACTACCGCCAGCTTGACTGTGACATCTTTGAGTTGTGTTATAACGGTATATGCAACCTGATTCGAACCAACAATGACCACTAAGGATTTATTAAATGTCAAAAAATTTATCATCGGTCAGTGCTTGGAATTAAGATTTATTGAGGCTTTTTACAAAGATTACGGAAAGGTTAAACTGTTTAGCCATATATTTGTGGATCATGCAAAATTATTCAACTAAACAACTTTGAATCTCTTTTGAATGTACTGGATCACGATGATATTCTTTCTCAATTAATTCCACTGATTTCAGTGTTTGTGAAGCTGGTGAAGATTTTACTATGTATGTTAGAACTAATATTTTTAGTTCAGATGTGATATAGACATTTACAAACCTAATAATCTTGGATATCTGTAATGATGGTAGACTTTGTAAAGGTAGAATGAACTTCAATATATGGTTTAAGTAGGTTCTTGTATGATATAGAAATCCTTATACGATATAGATATCCTCTTGTATGATATAGAAAAACACTTGTATGATATAGAAAACTAAACTAACGACAAAATCATTTAAAAACTAGAACGTATTATTTATTCTATTAAAAATTACCTAAATTAGAAAAATTTCAAAAAGTAGACTTAATCACATTGTCTTCTGAACGGCTCATTTTCGGTCGCGTATAAAATAAGCCATGCTCGTCATCTATATTCAGTACTTCAGACGAAACAAAATAATTTTGCAAACATTTTTAATTATAAATATTCTATAGTCTTATATCTTTTAACATAAAAATATTGATTTAATTAAATACATATTTAAAATATATTTATTTTTTTTTTTTTTAAGATTTAAAAATTTACAAACCTTTGTACATTCTTTGTACGAGTTTTTAAATTAAATTAAAAAGTGTGATATGTGAAATAAGTAACGACAACTTTGCGGCGGTACAAAATATCGAACTTAAGTATGATTTCATTCCCAGGTACTAAATATGTAAGTCCAGTACTGCATTTTTTTTGCATGAAAAATCGAAAAAATGTTTTTAAAATGTAAAAAAACTTACTCAAAAATTGTAAACTTCTGTTATATAATTTTATGTTACATAAAATATAGAGAAACATTTTTAAATTCCACAAGGATAGATTAAATTTGAGCCACAGCTGAGTTGGGATCGTTTTCAGATAATTCACGTTTTTTACATATTTTAAACAATTTTTTAAGTTTAAGGTACCCTAAAGGATATAAAAAATTGATCAATTGCATTTCAAAATTAACATTCTTTGCCATTTGTGCATGCATTTTGATTGCAAATTACTAAAAATTTTAATATATGACCTTCTGTTTAAACTTTTCGCTAAAATTTAGCCTTTTGTGCAACAATGGTATATTAGTGCTTTCCACGCTATGCGCAAATAAAAAGGTGGAAAAGTAATTAAAAAAATTGTGTTATAAAACGTCATTTAACACATCATTGTTCTACAATATTTACACACTCACAGCTTCGAAAAATTTTATATGCAAGCATAAAAATTAAAAAACTTTCTTAACAAATGCTTTTAAGCTATCTTGCTGTCAGCTGATTACGGTTGTATACGGTAAACCAAAGCATTACCAAAATTATTACAAAGACTGATTAAGATCATTAAACACTTTTGATGTGCTACCTATTAATTATAGTGCTTGTATTGTTGTTAGTTGATATTTGTTTATTTTCATTTGTTTGTAATTTAGCAAAAGCAAGTAACGCATCTGGAAAATTTGGCGGAGTTGCAGGCGTGTTACACGGTGCCACCATCTAAACAATCAAAAATAATATTTTAATAAATTCTTATATACTTAAATAATTAATTTATAATAATAAACTAATATAATAGTAACTATATATATATATATATATATATATATATATATATATATATATATATATATATATATATATATATATATATATATATATATATATATATATATATATATATATATATATATATATATATAATAATAATAACTATATATATATAATAATAACTCTATATATATATATATATATATATATATATATATATATATAATAATAACTCTATATATATATATATATATATATATATATATATATATATATATATAATAATAATAATAATAATAATAACTATATATATATAATAATAACTATATATATATATATATATATATATATATATATATATATATATATATATATATATATATATATATATATATATATATATATATATATATATATATATATATATATATATATATATTATATATATATATATATATATATATATATATATATATATATATTAAAGATTAGCACCTAAGACTTAGCTATACATAAAACTTAACTTTTTATAAGATTTGCACTTAACATTAAACAGTATAAAACTAACATCATCATCTGGATATATGTGAGGTAAAAATATAATGATAAAATTTTAAAATAAAAAATTATTAAATTCTTCATTTTGTTTTAAAAATTTATTAAACATTCTTTTAAATTTATAAAATTACTAAAATTTTAAACGTATTAACTAATTTATAAATAATTTTAAGATAATATTTTCTTAAAATTGCAAAACGTTGTTTAAAGTAAATGTTATATAGACAATAGAAAAGATAAGAAAGAAAAAAAAAAACATTTAAAAACTTGAATAGGAAAACAAAAAAACAAAATCGAAAACTGTTCAGTTAAAAGGTTATATTGAAATATACATTTCAATATACCTTTTTAACTGGACATATAATACTTAAGTTTTAATCCTGTTTTAAATAAATTTCTGTGTCCACCTTGTAGTAATGTAATGAATTTTGGTTGGCTGCAAGAGCAAGTCCAATTATGTTTACAATGCATTTTTGCACCTTGTCTAAAAAAGATATAGCATTATTGAAAGATCCGCCGTAATTATGGCAGGAGTATTCTATACAAGGACAAATTTGAGATTTATAGAAATAAAGAATAGAATCCTGAGTAAGAAAGTGTTGAGCACAATAAAGAGAAGCAACATTAGCATATGCTAATTTTGCAATGGATTTCATATATGGTTACCAAGAAAAACCGGAAGAATTAATCCTAGAAGATGAAGGGTAGATGACTCATCAAGTACATTACTGTTCATCAAGTACATTACTCTTCATATAATTGCACTCATTGAGTACAATTATATGAAGATCTAGATGATTGCAAAACAATTGGCTGAAAAAAATTGGGTTTTATCTGAATTAAAGTTCAACAGCCACTGTGAGCCCCATGCTGTAGCTGAAGTGTAGCTGAAGTCTTTAGCTGAAGTCCAAGCAATCACAGTGTTGGCTTCTTATCAAGACAAGAATAAATGGTAGTATCATCAGCTAACAATGCCACCATAGATGTGAGAATTTCTGGGAGAGCGTTAATGTATATTAAAAAAGTAAAAGGCCAAAGATAGAACCTTAAGGAACCCTGAACTTACAGGATATGAAAAATAATGCTGTCCATCAAAGACAACTTTTATACTACAATTGAAAAGAAAGGTTTCAATAATCTTAAAAATGTTACATGATAATCAGTAGGAAGAGCAACAATAATAACCGATAGGTTTTATTGTGCATTAGAATCTATCTAATACACAATAAAACCTATCGGTTATTATTGTTAGCAAATCAGCTTTAGAACAAAAAGATTGAAATCTATATTGATGATCAGAAAGTAAGTTATTAGATTCAAAGTGAGAGATTAAGTAAAGATTCAAAAACTTTCTTATGATAGAAAAAAGACAAATGGGACAGTAGTTAGACAAGTCAAATTGCTATCCAGAATTTTTGAAAATAAAGATAATAGATGCCGCTTTCCAGCAGGCTGCAAAACAAGACTCTGATAACCACTTGTTAAATAGTTTTGAAAGTATAGACAACAGAGAACACTTCTGCAAGACTATAACAGGTATGTTGTCTAAACCACAAGCTGTAGTCTAATCAGGAAATCACTATGATATTGATCAAAAGTTTTTAGCAAACAATTCAGCTTTGTCTTTAGGTGAGGTGAAAAGATCTGAACCATATAATAGAGGTGGAATAACAGATTTGCACTTATTATTGATACTGTTAAAGATTCCCCAAAAGTTACGAGATCCTAATTTTTGAGATAAAATACAAGATTTCTTGACCTGAGAATAGCCGGCTTCGGCATTTGATAAAACCTTTTTACAATGGGTTTTAGCAATAGTAAACAGATGTCTGTTTTTTGGAGAATTGTTTTGTTGGTAGATATGGAAGTAATGGTTTCGATTGGAAATTGCAGCAGCACAATGCAGGAAAATCATGAAGAGTGAGGCTTGACTTGGAATTGTCAAGAGGGAATAAAAGATTCCATGCCAGCCTGGCATGGAATCTTTTATTCCCTCTTGACAATTTTATTTTATTTAATTTTATTTTAGAGTTTTTTGAAAGTTTTAGTAAATCTGTCAGATGATCTTTTTTTTCAGTATATCAAATCAACTTAATAATCAAAAATCAAACTAATAAAAATATTGATTGCATCACCTAATGCTTTTATTTTCATAACTTATAATAACTTTATTGATGGATATTATTTCTAAAAAAAAATATTATACTTTATGACAAAAAAAAGATCATAATATTTAGAGTGAATTTTTATCTTTTTATCCTTTTATCCTCCTTGTTATTTTATCTGTAACATTTTGTATGATTTTTAAACTTAAAGTGATTTTAAATCTAAAAAAATAAACAGTAAAAACATCACAAGCCATTTGTGATGTGAAATGAGTATTAAATGCTTCAACAATGAGCATATTAAAATTGTTTAAATTTAAACAAATTTCAACTTACAGCATGATGCGAATTATTTGGTATAGCAACTTCTTGAAAATATATACTTAAAGCAACCTAAGAAAAATTGTATATATATTATAATATATATGCATTTCTATATTTAAATATGTATGTATGTATGTATGTATGTATGTATGTATGTATGTATGTATGTATGTATGTATGTATGTATGTATGTATGTATGTATGTGTGTGTGTGTATGTATGTATGCATGTATGTATGTGTATATATATATATAGTCCTCGGCGAAAATAAATGAGCACGAGAGCAGGGAGAAGCTCTGCTAAAACAAACTTAGGGAGCTGTGCAAGCAGCTCCTCATATAAATCAACGCTCTTTTTAACTTTAATTTTTTTTGCAACAACCGTGCTTTTTAAAAAGCATTGCAGTATATTATGCAATTAGTTTTTTTATAAATGACATTGTGTTTTTTATTTTAATTACAACGATAATTATACTTTTGTGAGAAAAATTATACTGTTGCAAGAGCCGTGAATTGTTCCTGTAAACCATTTTAGGGGAGTGTGGAGGAGAGTGAGAGCTCCCGTCGATGCCTCTATATATATATATAAATATATATATATATATATATATATATATATATATATATATATATATATATATATATATATATATATATATGTATATATATATATATATATATATATATATGTATATATATATATATATATACATATATATATATATATATATATATATATATATATATATATATATATATATATATATATATATATATACATATATATATATACATATATATATATACATACATATATATATATATATATATATATATATATATATATATATATATATATATATATATATATATATATATACATATATATATATATATATATATATATATATATATATATATATATATATATATATATATATATATATATATATATATATATATATATATATATATATATATATATATATATATATATATATATATATATATATATATATATATATATATATATATATATATATATATATATATATATATATATATATATATAATTTTAAATGTATTCTACAAAATAGAGTGCTCAATGTTATTAAAAGAACAGAGCAATAACAAATTAGTAGAAAATCACTTGTTGAATTTTTTTTTATTTTACACTGTGTTTCATGAAACACAGTGTAAAATAAAATATATATATATATATATATATATATATATATATATATATATATATATATATATATATATATATATATATATATATATAATATTATTAGACTTCAGATTTTCTTCAAAAAATCTTGTGTAACATCTCTCGTTAGTGACCAGTTAGAGAATCAAAAAGTTTATTATCCACCATCAAGCCTTCCTTTAAACCCTGTTTTATTTTTTTGCCTAGTTTATTTCTGCCTTTCATGTCTCTTTTCTGCCCTTTTTCTGTAATCAGTTTAATTAAGACCTTTTCATTTCTCAGTTGCCTTTCTTTACCAGTTTGCCTGAACACCCCTTTTAATTTTAACCAAATGCATCAGAATGAATTGTAAGGAAAAGATTTGGTTCCCCTCCAGCACATTTCACAGGTTTTTTTTTACTTGATTTTATATATAAAATTTTTTAACAGTCCTGTGTGAGGTTTCATTTTTTTTTTGAAGGTTGGTTATTTTATTTTTATATCTGTAGGTTCTGCAATCTTTTCTTTGCAGACTTTGATGTACAATATATACTTTATATTTTTTCTTGATTAATAACTTTTCACTAAGCTTTTTATTGACACTGTGTAGTACAAAATTGCTTTTTTTTTTCTTTCTCAAAACACCTTGAACAATCATTGTCTGCTCTTGTTTTTAATGAAGAAACATCAACTGGTGTTATGAGTTGAACAACTATTATTGATCTACTGACTGCAGGTAGTAGGGAGTCATCAGGAGTAAATGGTTGCGTTACAGGAAATGTAAATTATTTTGAAATGTAAACTACAATTAAAGCCCAATTACTATAATTTTTTTTTGTTAACATTTTATTATTCATACGAATAACAGATGTTCTTAGAGAGCACTTATTTAGGTGAAGATGCATTGTAAGAAGGCACAGTTCATTTACAGTCTTTGCTAAATCTTTTTTATAATTAATAAATAAGTTGTGCACGTAACCGTTTGTATATTTTTTTCTATGAAAGATTTCAATAGATTATCGAAGTCATTTAAATTTTTTGCCATAATATATTTTGAGTTGAAAGCTGTGAAACAACATATTTCTGTAAATAATTCTGTTTGTATGTATTTATATATATATATATATATATATATATATATATATATATATATATATATATATATATATATATATATATATATATATATATATATATATATATATACATATATACATATATATATATATATATATATATATATATATATATATATATATATATATATATATATATATATATATATATATATATATATATATATATATATATATATATATATATATATATATGATGTCATAATAAATATATAACCAAATTATGATACTTATAGTTTGAAAGTTCATTTATCATTTATAAAGAGGTCTTTAGGTTATGTAATAAACTGTATTTTATATACATTAGTAATATTTACCTCAAATTGCCATTGAGAGGCCTGTAATATTTGTTTAGCTTGTTCCCTGTTGCACCCAGCAGCCATTGTAAATTGATTTATCATAACTTGCTCCCGAAGACCATCCATACTTTTCGATTCTTTTTAATAACGTGTGTTTTTGTTATGATTTTACAACACAAAAGTTTCATGAAAATCGCACACGAGCGTTCTATTCATAACATTTGAATGATGCTAATATATTATAACGTAGATAAAACACACGTAAAAAAAAAATCCAAAACTTAAATGTGCCTAGTAAACATCAACATTATTATCTCCCAAAGTAAACGCACAAACGTTCTAAAAGTAGTACATAGATATTTGTTTATATTTTGAACAAAAATGATTGGATCGTTTCAAGTTGTTTTTTTATGACCGCTCTAATTAGAACTAAAAATTTTTTGTTTCACGGGGGCTGCAAGAAATGCTACTACTATAAGCATGAGTTTGTATACATGAGTTGAATAAAATATCTATTTACTTAAACATTTTAATTTTTCAAAAAACAAATATCTTATAGTTGTTTTTTGTTGTTGTTGCTTAGGTATAAACTGTAGCATCAATCAATCAAAAAAAGTTTTACTTTTTAAAAAATGTTACCAAAAAATTTAAAATATCTTTAATATTCTTGTTTGTAGAAAAATAGTATAAATTAAAAGCTCTAAAATTGTTTAATTATAGTATAAATTTGCTTGTTTTGATTCTTGAATACTTAAAGATTTAAATTTCAATGCGTTTTATGGTTGTATCTTTTTCCTTTCAAAACCATTATACATTGAAAGTAACCCCCTCTTTTAACAAAATCTATCGAAAAATAGAAATGATGAAAAATTTCGAATATTTTCTAAAAATTTAATTATTCGAGTTTTTAATCAAATTCGGTTGTATTAACGAAAAAATCAATTTTGAGTCAAAATCAGAATAAATGACAAAGATTACTTATAAAGCTTTTCGGCAGCAAAATTTGCATCGATTTCTTGTTAAGTATCCATTTCTCAATAAAAGTCAAATAAATTTAAAAGTTAGACAAGTATGGGTGAATGTAGTTAAAAATTACGCGGAAGAACAAAAAGGTTTGTGCGATTAAATTCAATAATGCCTATTAATGCAATAAAATGTTTTATCACGAATAATACAACTTTTTTTTATTAAAATGTGTTTTAATGTGCGCTAATAAAAAACCACTAAGCTATGTTGATTTATACAGCTTTTTACAGTAAAGTATTAAAGGCTTCTAAAATAAACATGAAATTTAATAACTATTATGTGTAAAGATTTACTTTTTATTTGGTTTATAATTACGGCTGGTTTACATTAAATTTAGTTTATTATTACACAGTTAACTGTGCAATAATAACTGCGTGATTTTCCTTCTCATATTTTATAAAATTTTAGGAAATTTTCTTGAAGTTTGAAAAACCCGCTTAGAATGCGCTTTTTATAAATAGGATTAATATAATTTATTAATCTTAAATATAAAAAGCGCTTTTTGAGCAGGTTTTTCAAACTTTGAAAATAAGTTTTTAACATTCTCATATTTATATATATATAAAAAAAAATTGTTTCACGTTTCTCAAAGATTGATTCTGATTGATTTTCATCCATATATTTTGGACACAAAAAAATTTAAATTTAAGGTTCAGCGATATAAAGAACGTTACTTGCAATACTAATGTAATTACTAGTGTATTAGAGCAATTACTAATGTATTGATTAAACCACATTCTTCAATTTCACCAAAAAGCAATAGGTATTTTTAAAGGTTTTCTTTCAAGATCATATAAAAATATGTTTAGAACGGAATATTCAGAATGAAATTGAGTTTCTTGTTAATGCGTTTTCCCCAAACTGACACTCATATAAACAATTTTAAGATATCGTATAAAATTATAAACTATCGCATAAAAATAGAATAAACCAGCTGATCGACCCTGGAATCATACTGCTGTGGATACTAAAACTTAGCATTAAATTTAAAAGCGACCTTTGTAGAGAGCATAAAAACTGCTTTTTGCTATGGTAATACACGGGTTTATAATCTTAGTTCCGTTTTGCAAATTATCACAAAATCGTTTAGTAAGATAAATATTTCGAACTTAACTTGGTGATAAATTTGGCAAGGAAAGATATTTAGCGTTAAAAAGGTTTATATCAAAGATTTTATATCCAAGTAATATCAATAAGTCATATTCTGCTATTCAAAATTTTTCTCAAATCTTCTCTTATTCTAGAAATGTTTACTTTTCTAAACAATTTTGAGATAATTTGCGGATCCAAACTGAGACTATCCCAGCGGGCACGGAAACGTCCATATGACGTCGAAAGGACGTCTTTTTAGGACTTCCAGAACTGGTTTTAAATGGCAACGCCAGATGACGTCTTTTTAAGACGTAATTAGGACGTCTTTTTAGGACGGACTAAAGACGTGTTTTGAGACGTCTAAAAGACGTGAATCTAGGACGTTCAGAACTAGTGCTAAATGGAAACGCCGAATGACGTCTTTAAATAACCTAATTTAGACGTTCTTATTTCGACGTCTAAAATACGTGTTCTAACATGGGTTTACTTAAACGTAAGGTTCAAATTTATGTTTTTACAGAACTTCTTGAGAATAAGAAAAAAATAATAAATCATTTAAATTTTTTAATAATATAATTGTGCTGAGTTTTATAAATTACAACTTTGTAAACTTCTTCTTCCACTTGTTAATTTCCAAAAATCGAATTTTCGAACAGTTGACGCCATTCACTTTCTTTTCGATCAGATGCACTCTTTAAAATATTGCTACCAGCATTTTAAAGTTTTTTTTTTGCTGTAGGAATCAGGAAAGCAATCTTAACCTTAAAAAAATATTGTTAAGATAAGAATGTAAAAATAAAGGGGAAAGAAACAAATAACACACACACACACACACACACACACACACACACACACACACATATATTTATTATTTTATAAACATAACATCAAACATCAAAAAATACGAATTTCTCAACACTAAATTTATTTTTTTAAAGAAATTTTTAACTGGATTGTTGTGACTAGCGTATATATTTATGTATGTCAAGTATGCAATATAATTGCGGTATTAAAAATGCTCTTTTTATAGTAAAATTATACTTACTTTGAAAGCATGCCCTTCTCAAATGCATTGCATGATGAGCCACCAACATTTAATAACTTCTATTTCTAAATTCAAAAGATAACACTAGTGTAATTGATATGGGACAATTTAGTGTAAGTTATATTGGGCATAGGAGCAATTCCTTAGTGTTTTATTCAATTCAAAAATTTTGTGTAAATTATGTTTACTTGTAAAGTGAGCATTATGTATATAATTACAGATCAAAATTTTTTATGTAATTTACCCTTATAAAAAAAAACTAAACATTTAACCATAATAAAAAATGTACTACTTTTTGCAACATTAGTATCGAGAAATGATTGATCACATTCAAGAGACTTGGCGATAGAATCATACTAGTAAAGATCAAAGCTATTCTCAACTTTAAACGTTTTTTATATTTCATTATCTTAAGATAAGTAAGTAAATGAATGAAAGCCTATATATTATAATTTATATATATATATATATAAATTTTAATAGAAAAAATATATCATCATATTACATCGCTTCCAACAAGGCTGCGAACAACCACTATAAGAGTTTGGAAGTTATTGGAAGAGAAAAGATTAAGTTTGTAGGGCAAGATAACGATTGACAGATGACTCAAAAGATTGCAAATTATATGAATCAGGGAAGCAAGATGAAGGAAGCAAATTCCAAAGAACTGATGTTCGAAGAAAAAAAACTAGCTTTAGAGCAGTGCCAATTATAGCATTTGTAGAAAAGAGAAAAAGAAGCAACATCACGACGATGTGACAATGGTTGGAGATTGGCTGCATAAGCAGGTCCAACTATGTTTACAATGCGCTTTTGCACCTTGTTTAAAAGAGAAAGGGCATCAATAGAAGATCTGCCCCAGATATGGCAACAGTATTCCATACAGGGACGGATTTGAGATTTATAGAGATAGAGAATAGAATCTAGAGTAAGGAAGTGTTGAGCTCGATAAAGAGATGCAACCTTAGCAGATGCTTATTTTGCAATGGATTTAATATACGGTTTAATAGAAAGATCAGAAGTAAAAGGTAATCATAGAAGGTGAAGGGTATATGACTCATCTAGTACATTACCATTCATAAATATAGGAAGATCAAAATTATTGCAATAACGATTGGCCCAAAAAAAATGAGTTTTATCTGAAATAAAGTTCACCAGCCATTGTGAGCCACATGCTGTAGCAGAGGTGAGATCCTTTTCAAGCTCAGATACCCCCTCCAAGCAATCAGAGAGTGTAGGCTTCTTATCATGACAAGAATAAATAGTAGTGTCGTCAGCGAACAATGCCACCTTAGATGTGATAATATCTGCAAGAGAGTTAATGTAAATTAAAAAGAGTATAGGGCCAAGGATTGAACATTGAAGAACCCCTGAGGTTACAGGATATGAAGAAGATATATATATATATATATATATATATATATATATATATATATATATATATATATATATATATATATATATATATAACTAACTTAAAATTTTACTAGCTACATCTTTTGAAAGGAAATTCTTAAATGTTCTTTTTTTCTTGCTGAATTGACTAGGTACCTATTTTGAGTATTGAGAAGTATTAAAAAAATTAATTTATAAAGATAAAAGGCCTAAATAGTTAAAATAACTTCCAAGATAGTTATTAGAAGAAAAAATATTACTTACATTACTCTTTGTAAAACTTTAAGATTTATCATTGACTTCATATATTTTCTTTAACTTTGTTTTGGGAAAAGCGAAATTTTGAATCACAGACTTTCAAATTTTGGAGGAGCTGAATGAATTAAAGAAGTTTTTACTAATAAAAATTCATTAGACATATTACATAAAATAAATTATATTACATTAACCATTACATAAAATGAACTATAGCCAAAACCTTGTTCTATTTTTTTAAAACCGAAGGCAAAAATAAAAATGAACTTTAGAGTTAAATACATTTAATCAAATAAAATTTCTAACAAAATTAGATACAAAAACTACAAACACATCAATTCTAGATTCCTAAATGCATATTTAAATAAATGCAATATGAGTTTTTGAAATACAAAACAAAAATGTAACATATTATTACCAAATACAAACATGTATTTGACCGAAACATATATATCAACTGACACTTGATGTAGTTGACGCTCCTAAAAATAAAATCTTAATTAACAAGTAAATAAAACTTATGGATAAAGTAAAAAATATTCTTACAAGTGTTTTTTTTTTAGCATTAGCATTTTTTTTTAATTTTTATTTTTTTATTTTTCTGTTCAACTTTATATTGTATCTAATTGATGTTTCACACTATCTATTTCTAAACTTTAACTAATACTACAAATTCTACTAATTTTAACTAATAATAACTAATAGTTCTAAATTTTAACTAATTCTAATAATTTTAAATTTTAGCAAAACTCATTTTTATTTTATTTGACATATATTTTGTATTTTTACTAATAAAACTGACGCTATAAGTCAGGATTTTAAGGAGACATTATTCTATTATTTAAAAAGATTTGGTCACGAAAGTCAATTTTTTGAAAGAAAAAATAGCAGAATTAAGGAGAAAATAACTACATTGAAAACAGAATCTTATTTTTTTCAATAAATTTAAAATAAAAACAGATAAATTATTATAAATTACCATATTACTTTTATACACACACACACACACACACACACATATATATATATATATATATATATATATATATATATATATATATATATATATATATATATATATATATATATATATATATATATATATATATATATATATATATATATTTATACATATACATAACCTTTGGAGTTTGGGTCGGCATGCAGCAATGCCAACCTAAAAGTGTTTGAGGTCAACAAATAATGCTGACCTTGTTTCTATGTTTAATGGTAAGACTTTTGAATCACTTTTTTGATTGATGTCGACAAATTATTGTCAACCTTTTTTTTCTTTATTCC